GCAGCAAGGAGATGCATAAGTACATACCCAGAGCACACAAAGTTGGCTTCATCCAGAGTTTGCCAGTCAATGGTAAACCAGGCAATGAGGGGAAGGAGTGATTCTGTGACGGGCCATGGATCCGAGGGCAGTTGAGGAGGGCAGAGAAGGGAAATTTATCACAGAATTGACCAAGGGTTGGCCTGAACGCTTGAGATGAGGATTTGTTAGACACAAGGCCTGACCCAAAGTAAGCACCCAAGAACTGTTAGTCACATGGGGACATATGGAGAGCTGCAATACCGGAACTCTACACCAGGGGGCAAAAGACGACAAGAAATAAGTCTGGCCACGCCCCTGCTGGACTGGGACTCTTGTCTCCCAAACTCCAGTGGCCCTCTTGCCTCCTTCCAGAATCCCCAGTATGTCCAAGTGCACGGTGCTGCCCACTGAGCTCGAGCTTCTGTAGGTTCCACCAAATGGCCACAGGTGGAATGTGTGGGGCAAGGAGAGAAGAATCCACAGACTTCAAGATAGACGAAGGGACCTTCTTCCTTTACATTTGTCCTGGTCCTCGTTTGGGCACCAGGCATCCCCTGGCCCTCAGTGACCAGAATAAACAGACTGGATATTCCTGGACACCTGGGAAACCAAACAGTGCCAAGAAACTCAACCTATGCCCTGCTCCCATCAAACCTCTCCCTCAAGATTGGTACCATGATGTATGGGCTCCCAGGCTGGCCCTACAAACATGTGCCCAGTGATCTAATAAAGGTGTTTGTGCTGAATGAAGGATATGAAAGGATCCAGTGGAGGGTGCCTGTTGATCAACAGATTTTCCCTGGTGCCTCCTATATGCTTTGTCCGAGTTGGACCTGGGAACAGAAAACAACGTAGACTAAACAGCATCTGCTCAGTTGCACACTCTTCATCCATTCACACTTGCTTTGCTCCTTCCAGTGTGCCAAGAGGGGAGACAGATGGCTTGTGTCCAAGGTGATGGATGAGAGAAATAGGGGAGTTGGGAAGGGAAGATGTCTGCAAATTAGCCTGGGTGCATGCAAGGATGAAGTGGCTGGCCTTATATTTGGTGTAGCAGTTACAGGAGGTGATCAGTGTTCTGAGAAAGGACCAGGAGATAAGATCCAACTGGACCAGGAGAAGAGAAAGGGAGATGAAGGAAATAAAGGGGCTGGTCTGTGCCGTACACCCACCGCTGGGGGGATCAGGCCACCCTGTGCTTTCCCTGGAGCCTGGGAAGAGGACGCGGGGTTCACAATGGCATGAAGGCAGACGGGTATTTGTCTGCTCATCCATTCATTGTTTTCTTGATCCAGGAGGGCTCCAGATTCCAACCCCCAGCCTCAGGCAAGCATGTCACCCTTGCTCCAGTGATCCAGTGAATCAGAAACACGTGGAGAGGTAAAGCCATTTGCAGGGGCTTGCAGGAAGAAGCCTCCAATCCAATGTCTTGCCACATCTTAGATAAACGGGGGGAGGAGGGTCATTGTTTGCTGGCAGGCAAGGGAAACAGAATAACAGAGTAGTGCAAACTGGGCAGCCCCATCCTCCATCTGGGTCCTCTATTGCCCACAGACATCCCCTTGGGCAGGGAGCCACAGGCCAATTTTCCTTAGACCAGATGCTCCAAGCCCAGGGTGTAAATCACTGCCTTTCCCTGCTGAAGCTACAGCTCAGGCCGGGCAGCTAAACTCACAGCCCGCCTCCCACCTGCCCACCCCACAGCCTGGAACTTAGATTACACAAACACTTGAACACGCTATTCGAAATACTGCAATTTGTCCCGTCGGCTGACCTTTGCCTTTCTGCATTTGACATGTTTTGATTCTGCATGGTTGTAGGTCTCGTTTCATCAACAAGATGACCGTGTAGTTCATTATCCTTTGACTTTTGGGGTCAAGGCCTCCATCCGGGCAGGAAACATCCATGGCTCCAGAAGTTTCAGGCCTCTTGGTATTTAATTGTCACTGTCATTGCCTCTCTTCTTCTACCCCATCTCCCTACAGGACTCCAGAATGGTGGTGGCCACGAAGGGGATCGCAGGGGCTGACTGGAGCCACCATCAGGATGCGCCTGGCTTGTGAAGAGCACTGTGTGCTTCACAACCTGAACCTGCTGTCTCACCTACCAGGTCCCTGCACCCAGGTCATGCCAGCCGTTTCTGCAAATCTTCTTGGTGGAAGTGGCATCTCAAGGAAAAACTGCCCGGGTACAGCCTGATTTTCAGTAGGTTAAAGTGAGTCATTCTGGCATTAAACAGAAGGCAGCACACATAGGAGGAAGCCCGTCCTGAGACCTTGGAGCTTTGAAGCTGGGGATGGTGCCCCTTTGGGCCCCAGGTACTGCCTGGCATCTCCCAGCTGCTGGGTAGCTGTCCAAGCCAATCCTGGCTCCCCAATTGATCTGGCCTTCTTGAGCAGCTATTTTTTCTCATCAAACACATTCCTGGTGACTTCTAAGGGCTGAGGTCACGAAGGTGATCACTGGAACATTGTGAGGAGGAAGCCCCCTTCTGCAAGGGCCTGGGTGGTGGGGCTTTTAAGGGCTGCTCCATCTGTGGAACCATCTAGGAGACAAGCAGCAGGGCCACAGCAGTGCTGGGCTGCCAGTGAGAATGCTATGGGCAAGGCAGATGCACTCTGCGTGCAGAGGAAGGCCCAGAAATGCAGTCTGGCAGGAGCGCATTCCAGGCTTTGGAATAGTGGCTGGTCCGTGAGGGCGGAGAGGTCCCACACTTCTACCAAACTTAATGGTCCAGTAGAGTAAGGTAGAGTGCATGGAGAGAGGAGAGACCAGCCACAGAGGGAGGGAACTCAAATCCAGTGAACTCATGATACACTTGATGAGGGATGGAGAACCGTTCTAGAAGCTCTCACCCACTGGTACAGCTAAAAAGTGCCCCAGTTAGTCAGTATTCCCTACTGCATGGCCAATTGGGTCTTGGCTCTAAACCTGACAGTTGTCATTTAAGTTGGCGGGGTGCATTTTAAAAGGTGGAGATGGGGTTTGCTAAGGTCCCCATGGCTCAAGATGAATTCAACTCTCCTCTTTCACCGGAGCACACACCCTTTGCCCTGGAGCTGCGGCACCGAGCCAGTCCCACCTGGCACCCTCCTCACAGTGCCCTGCCCCACAGCATTTCCTTCTCAAATATTTTGGCACCCACATCCCAGTTGGCTCCAGGCCAGGGCTTCCCTCTCCCTATTTTCAAGCTCTTCAAAGATCACTCAGGACATCACACCGGTGGCCCGCTCCTGGTGCAGTGGTGGATGGTGCAAATGAAGTTGGGATAGGACGCAGCCTGTAGATTCAGTCATGTTCCCTCTTCCTTGTTATAAACTCGGTTTGGAAGTCGGAAAGCTTGAGGCCATGGAAATGCAGGAACACCCAGCAGCACTTGGCACCGCCCACTTGGGAATGAGCTGTCCCGGGGCTGTGTCTGTGGCACCTAAGGCATCTCTGCCATGCTCGCTCACCTCGGGCAGCTCCTGTTTTCCCAGGCAAGTGTGTTGCACCCAGTCTCACAATGCGGGAGGGAGTGGAGTAGTCATGGGGCGGTGACTGGCCTGGCTGGGGGCCACCCTGCTGGCATCATCGCAGGGCTGACAGAGTGGCAATCGCAGGAAAGCTCCCAGATCTGCCGTGATGTGCTGGGCTGCTCCTGTGCGAATGCTGTGCCTGCCACAGTCCCTCCTTGCCTCCTGCATAGGGCAGCAAGGAGGCCCTTGTGTCCCAAACTAGGTGCCCAGGGCATGCAGCAGAAGGCAACTAGCCTCCTGGGGTCACCCAGGAAGGACACCGGCACCAAGGAGACCCAGATGGTGAAGGCTGGGGGTCTGAGACGGGTGCCAGGAGCCAGGCCTGCCTAACCTGCGGATTCTCCCTCTTGCCCTCTCCTCGGGGTGCTGCCTAGCCTTGGGCTTCTTCACCCATACCCAAGAAGCCCTGGAGAGTAAGGATGGGGTGGGCTTGCTTGAGTCAGACACCGGGTGCACGAAGCACATGAGGCTGGCAGGGAGGTCGGAAAACCTTGCCCTGAGTAGTTCCGGTGTGGTGTCCCACATCTGTGTGAAAATGTGCCTGGTGCAACTGCTCCGAGCACACCTGTGGACAACGCCTTGCGTGGTCACATGACCTGTGGTGTATGAGTGCACATAAGAGGTCCGTGAGGAGGGAACATGCTCTCTGCTGCCTACTGTTTTAGAAGGGCACTAATCCCAGTATCAGGGCCCCACAGTTGTCTCCTCATCCATGGTAACTACTTCTCAAAGGCCTCTCCACATACATCATGCTGGGGTTAGGTCTTCAATATATAAATGAGGGGGGCACACAAACCTGCAGTCCTAAACAACTTGAGGTGACACCGTTTAGGGAATGTCAGCCTACTCCTATTGGGGTGAGGCCTTCTATATCCCCTTTGTGTTCCTTGCCACTGCAACAGAGGGTTTCCTTGCCTTCTTCCAGCAAAGGTTCATGACTTTCTAAGAGACACCAGCAAATTCCAGCAAAGCTAGAAATGAGCCCATCAGCCCTGGCACCTGTCAGTTGAGTCAGTAGCATTTCTGGGATCTAAAAGTCAGTCAAAAATTCAGACAGAGTTGCCACAAATGAAAATGTTTATTAAGCAACCAAGCTATACCCAAGTATGTTGTTGAGATTCTAAGTTTGCAATTGGAGACGTTTTCCTGCTGGCCTTTCCTACGGCTAAGCCTGAATGGCTTTCTACTGGCATGCCTGCCACTCTGGCAATTTTTGTTGGCATAAAAATGGCACTGAACTTGAAAATGCTGCGGCCAGCCTGCCCATGGTGGAAAGTGAGGTGGTGAAGCTGGGCATAGTGGACAGCAGTTAGCAAACTAGGTATCAAAGGCTCTCCTGCAAGCGTGATTTCCACAAATTAGGTTATGCTTAAAAAAGGCAAATATGAATTCCCATCAAAAAGAGAGTATGTTTCCCTCCCTCCCATCCCTATCCCAAGGGACTCTGTGGCCCTTGGAGGTCCCCCTGCCTCTCCCAAACTTCCTCTCATGGGTGGGGAACAGAATCCCACTGGCGCAGCACACTGCTCAAACTATAATTCCTCAAGGAGAAGAAGGGTCTCTCGCTAGGCAGGTTTGCAGTGGAGCCCTGGTCTTCTGCTTCGGGTGCTGCTTCCTCATGTTCCTCGACCTGCTGGGGAAAGAGAGACCAGGTGAGATGCTTTGCTGGAGTCCTTGCCCCTTTGGTATAATAGGAGGATTCCTTTTGTTCAAACCTGCAAGGAGCTGAGAGGTGTCTCTTTGCAACCTGAGCCTGCAAGGCTCTGGGTGAGGGGAGCAGGAAGCCAGGCTCTTCCTCTCCTGTCTGGCACACAGCAGCTGCAGATCTCAGCTTTCCCAAAGCTGCCTTACAGCTCCTGGCCCTGTCTCTGTCCTGGTGTCTCTGCAGCCACAGCCACCACCACAGCTGCAGCCCACAGCTCATAGCCCACAGCCCACAGCCCAGGGCCCTGGACTGTTGCTTCCACGCTGACCCTGATTTGGAGTTATTGGCCAGGTCCAGGGAAGGCCCCTGCCCGGTATGGTTTGACAGTGGAGCCACTGGACCCATTGACCCCTTCTGGCCTCTTCCTGTGCTTAGCTGCTCAGAAGGATCCACTTTCTGGTTATGTGGGGGCCCAGCTGGTGCAGCTGTGCGTGGGGAAATAATCATACTTTGATCTGCTGTAACTGTCTAAGCTCTCATGTTCCTTTAGCCATTCATTTGTCGTTTTTTGTTTGTTTGTTTGTTTTGGGGGTATTCTGGTTCATTTTTGCGGAGAGAGGATTGCACCATTCAAGATTTCCAGTGCCACAGTAAACACCTTTGTGACTGATGCTTGGCAGTCCCATGGAACGTGCTGTGGAGACTGCTGGGAGCAAACCCCTCTATGTGACTGCCATCTGGACCTGCTCCCATACCGCAAAGTGGCCACCGCAGGGACCTCCAAGGTGCATCTGTTCTGCCTAATACAAGGGCCCTGGAGGTGGTCACCAAGCACACTCAACAGAGGAAACTTGGGGTCTGCCTTTTGGTTGGTGGTTGCTAATTTGAGGGAATGTATCCATACTAGGCTCTAGATTTCTTAAAAGATCCAAAGACCCAAAAAGGTAGGATGAGGTTTGGGTGCAGGCAGTAAGACTGGCATCATAAACACTGCCTGGCTCCCTCCTCCCAGGGAGCTCCTATTAAGAGCCGTTCCGAAGCCAGATTTGGCTGCACCCGCTTGGGGCAGCCCACCTTTTGAGAGTCCTGCAGCAGGTAGCTGTGCTTGGTAGTGAATATCGCTGTCCCATGAGTCATTGCTGATCCGCGCACTGAGCTCTGGAGTTGTCACACCCAGAGCATGTCCCTAGGGCGTGTGCTTTAGGGGAAGCTATCAGCTTCCCCTCTGGCCTGGGCTGGAGGGCAAAGGAGAAGGCCATAGCATACCTGCTGCCAGGCGACCTGCTCCTGAGAGGAGCTCTCATCACTGGCAGTCAAATTGTTCAGCTCTGAGCAGGCAGCCTGTGAGGCTGGTAACTCTAGCCACAGTTGTACGAGCTCCTCGGTGTTGAAGTCGGTTAAAGGTCTTACAGGTGATGTTTGTGACAAGGGGGAGGCGGGAAGAGAGTCAGAGCTACTGGATGAAACAGCCCCCTGTTGCTCTGCAGGAGAAATGCTGCAAGAGAAGAAAGCTGGTGCAGTGACACAGGCCTCGGGCTGGCAGCAGGCACGGGATGTGCACTATTTATCTCGTGAGTATATCGGTAGGGATGCCGAGAGGAGCAGCGCTGCTTGTTTCTTTGGTTTTCTTTCATTTTTGCCTTGTTGACTTTATTTCTATTGCATGAGTCGTCCTGCTTCCACTGTGACCTTGCTCACCACAGTGCAAGCCAGCTCACCCACCCCAGAAGCAGAGGGCACTGGTAACCGAGCAGAGGCTGAAAGGCCGTGCTCTGGAATCCTTGCTTTCACCATGACCCAAAGCCAGGAGGATTTGGAGACTGTTACAGGTCACAGAGTCCCATCCCAGGCTCTTTCAATGCCCAACTCAGGCAGGAAACGTGCGTGGTGCTCGCCCACTCTGGGCCAGGCTTGCTGAGTCTACAGTAAAAGTCAGAGAGAGCTCTGAGAGGCAGTGTCTACAAGCCAGCATTTGGTATTTCCTGGGCCCTAAGTACATGCTGAGCAATTCTCTAATTGCTGGGCAGAACCTTCTCTCTGGCGCTTGGAACAAATGACTAGTGCGGAGCAGAAATGTGTATGTGTCTCCATACTGCTCCACACGACTCAGGCAATGTAAATCGTGTTTTGTTCCCACTGCCCTCACATTCATTGTCACTGCTGTGGGGAGCTCTTCACCTCACCTACTGTCATCACCAGTTCCAGGGAAGATGGACAATGGATCTGAAAGCCCAGGAACTAGTCAGCTATGACGATGCAAGGCTTCCCTACAAGTGGCCTGGACCCAGAGGCTGGGTTTGAATGAATCAAGTCAAGTGAACTGAGGGTCTGCATACTACAGGCTTCCTGATCACTTCACTTGTAGGGGCTCCTCTGGTCCATGCACGGATGCTTACTCAGATCCTATACAGAGGTAGGGTGGCCAATGGCCACAGGGAAAGAGGAGTTGGCAGCCAGGTGCTGTTCACGAGAGGTCTGTTGGCAGCACATGGCCGAATCCTTCATCCATGACCTCAGGCATGGTGTCCAGCCATGAAAGGAAAGCAGTGATGCCAGCCCACTTCCCTGTTCTCTAAGCTTCTTACCTGGAACTCTCATCTTCCCAGTTGTCAGAGTCATTATCTTCATTGCTGCTAGAGGCTTGCTGCTCAGCTCCCATTTGAAGAGGCAAGACGTGGGGCTGCACCTGCACAGAAAGAACAGGGTTACTGTGAAGAGGCGTGGCTATGACAGGTTGGCTTTGCAGATGTGTCCATGCCATCTGGCTCCCTGTGGTGACACCATTCTATTGCTGTGGCTGCCCCTGTACCTGCTGTTCCTCAGGCACCACTCTCGGTTGGAACTCTAGATCCTCCTGCAGCATGCGCAGCTCCTCCCATTGCCCCATGTCTGGCTCCTCCTCCTCCTGTGCCAGCCGCTCTTTTTCCTGCTGCATCTGCCGCTCATCCTTCTCTTGCATGTGTTGTTCCAAGTCACGCAAGCACTGTGGCATCAAAGACAAGATGTCAGGGGCCTCACAGCAATGAATGTCTCATGCCATTGTGGAAGAGAAGGCAACGGGCATTGTCTCTGGGAACTACCTCCACGCTGATGCCTCAGTGCCCAGGTACACGCATGTTACACAGGCTAGCATGTGTCTGGACTCACCACTCTCCCAGACAAATGAATTGCTGCCTGCTGGGCATCCAGGGTTACCATGATTGAGTCTGAGCCCTTACACAAGTCACACCTACCCTCAGTCACCCAGTTTCAACTGCCCTCCATACCTGGGCGGAGGTGGTGAAAGAGTTCTCAAGCCCTTCAATGAATGTGTCAATTTGGTATGACATGCAGAAGCGCTTGGGCTCCCTGCCACCTGAGGGGGAGCGCTTCACTTTCCCATGGTAAATTTTCGTGGATTTATCCTCCACATCCCAGGGGTCAGGACTGTTAGCGATGTGGCGTGATGTGGTTGGCACCTGTCAGGACACAGTAGCACACAGGACTTACTGCTGGCCCACTTCTTCTCTCAGGACACTAGCCGAACTGAGCTTGGAGCAGGCTGCCCACAGGAAGCCCTTCGAAAACATGGCTGTATATGAGCCACACTGGCCACTGCCAAAGCCTTGGCTGGGCATCTAAGCTCCTGCAGCCATAAGCCAAAGGGAAAAATTGCTGGGACTTGCAGAAGGCTGCTCTAGATGACCTAACTCCTTGAGAAGTGCCAGGGACCCCCTCTCCTCCCCATTCAGACTCAAAAACTAGACTTCTGCATTGCCACAAGCTGCTCCTTTTGCATTTCCAGTACATTCTGCTGGCTTCTGAGGTCATTCTGCTTGAGTTCTCTCTCCTAAATGTTCCCTGTGGCTGGGGTCAGGGAAAAGCCAGCAAAATGTGGGGATCATCGAAGGTCTAGAAACCAGGGTCCTAAAACGTCAAGGCACGAGACAGTGGAAGGAAGGGACATGTTTGAGAAATGAAGAAAGTGGACGTGACTTCACAGCTGAATATGGATATGACTTTCCTGGCCGAGGCTGTCAAGAAAAAAAGAATTCCTGAAAAGAACTGTCAAGGCTGTGTGCAAGGCCTGGAAACAACTTCTGATTGCCCTAAACTGTACAATCAAGACAGACCCGTAGTCTTGATCCACAAAGAACATACAGTGCTAGTAATGGGGAAAAGGTACACACACGCACACTCTAGGGACCAAAAGTAAAGACTATGATAGCACACAGTGGTCCTTCAGTGCCCTTTAGACCTTTATGACTAATGTAAGTACACAGCAAAGGGTGAATGAGACCGAGAGAGAAAGGAAGGGAAGGAGAAAGGGAAGGAGGGAAGAAGAGAAAGCACACCATATGAGTTATAGGAGTTTGTTTTCTTATTTGGATTAAAATTATGTAAGTTTTTAGAAGCACAACTCAGCTAAATCCTGGAAGCAGCCTATATGCCCATCAGCGCACAAATGGATGAAGAAATGCTGTGATATTTGCATTCAGTGGGGCACTAGTTCGCCATAAAGGTAACTCTGAGTCATCTGTAGGGAAATGGCTGCACTAGGTGAAGTAACCCATAATCCTGGGTGAAGTAAATCAGACACAGAAGCTTCAATAGCACGTGGTTTCTCTTATATGATAAACCCACAGCATGCATAATTTGAAGAGCAAAATAAAAATAGAAGATGGGAAATAGGGAGATAAACTGTGTGACGATGGGGAGGCAGAATCTGGGGATGGGAAGAAACAAGAGGGAGAGGAAGGGAAACGGAAGTGAAAAGGATGAAGACACAGCATGCGTAGGTACTAATTAATTCCCCGTGACGAATGTCATGAATATGTATCACAAACACAGCACAGCAAGTGTCTGAAAGTTGTCCACTTGCCTTTCCCTTTCTTTTGCTGTGTACTATGTATCTCTCCCCAAAAGAAAACAGGCATTTATTAGCGCCCCCACCCCTGTTGACTAGAAGAAACCGACCACATAGGAAGGAACTATCCCTGCTCTCACTGCTAAATGAGCTACCACGCCAGCTCCATGAGAAGCTGGCTCATGGTAGTGGTGACCTGATCCAGCTGGGCAATGTTACTCATGCCAAGAGGTATACCAGAAGCCATCTGAAAGGACTCTGCTCTGCAGCTTCTAGTGCCAGCCCTAATTTGGTCCTCTGGAACATCTCCATCACGAGCATGATGACACTTCAGCTATTTGGATAAAGCCATCCTATCCCTCACCATTTCTCTCTTCTCCAATGTTGTTTCATCCCCTTCTGCCAGCCTAGTCTCCCCTTCTGGGTGCATTCCAGGTGGCCACGACCTGACACCAGGAAATAAGCCCGATAACACTATCACACACACAGGCAAATGACACTCATTCTTGGTTACTTTGATCACTTTAAACAAAGGCTACGCTAAAAGTTAATTACAAATAAATCCAATAGAGGAGAAAACTTGTGAGTGGTGAAAGGAGAGTCACAACTTCTGAGTACAATAAGGACAATAAAGAGGACAGAATGGATTCCCACAGAATTGTCCTTTTGAATAGTTCAAGGAACTTTCATAGCAGTCCACAGTCCAAAGCAAGATCTTTTCATTTTAGAGAAACTACTGGGCGTGGTGGCACATACTTGTAGTCCTACCCACTTGAGAGGTTGATGACAAATTCAAGGCCAGCCTGAGCCACTTATCAAGACCCTGTCTAAAGATTTAAAAATACAGTAAGAGGTGTGGATTAGCACAGGGATCCTTGAGTTCAATTCCCAGCACAAGTGCGCACACGCGCGCGCACACACACACACACACACACACACACACAGCCAAATGGAGGATTAGATTAGGAATTTGCCAAGGTCAAACACCTGGGGCCAAAAGCAAACAGTGTTGCCTAGTCCTCAGTTCTTTTTCATCGGATGAGGCTGCTTTGGGCATCAGAGATGGAGTGACTTCTCTCCGGCTGAGTAACTGATGCACACAATTTCATGTAAGTAACCATCAACTCCCTTCCTTAGCTCCCAGTCTTGGTCTGAAGAGTGCTCACATCAAGATGACTGTCCAAATGTGTGACTGTACACATACTCAGGGGCAGAGGAGATGTGACTTAACCCAGTCATTGGGATTAGGCTTTGGGCCATGTATTGGTGTTAATGCTTGAAGCTGTCTTCCCTTGAGTTACTCAGAAGCCTGTCACAGGAGATGAGAGAGAGGCTCTAAACACCGTGCCTTTTCAGAGCAGGTGAGCATCCTATTTGGGTCAAATTTTTTCAAAGGCAACAAATGTCCTTGTGTGGTTTACATGATGAAGAGAACAGGGATTTGGACTCACTTAAGAGAAACCCCAACCTTCCTGTTTGCAAGGGCCCCCTATTCTCCACTGAATGTGAAAATTCATTATACCATAGATAGTGACATGGTTCTTAAAAATAAAGAGCAGGCTTTCTGCAAAGACAATTGGGCATATGAGGGTCATTTTGGGGCTTTGTAATGTTAGAGGCCTGGACATGCATGTGGAACAAGACTGCAGAAGTACCTGAGCACTGGTGCTTGTAGCCCCACCACAGGAGAACAGGTCCTCCGGCACCACTGGCTCCATCTGCACTTCTGGAATCACTGGCTTCACCAGGACTTCTCGTACCCCTGGCTCCATCGTTACCTCCTGCATCACTGGCTCCATCAAGGCATCCTGCATCACTGACTCTATCAAGGCATCCTGCATCACTGGCTCCATTAGGGCATCCTGCATCAGTGGCTCCATCAGGGTATCCTGCATCATGGACATCTCCAATTTCATTAAATCCTGGGATTCTTCTAGAATGCTTGAATCCAGTGGAAACTCTATGTCAACTGGGTCCTGGCATATCCTTGGCTCCATCATGCTATCCCTCACAAAGGCATGAAAGGTTGTAGCTGAGGAGAAAATCACATTGGCGTTCATAACTAAGACAGCAAAAGTTCCAGTGTTATCAAAGAGAATATATGATAAGATAGTACAGCTGCAGTTCCCATTGAGGTGAGACCATCAGGTACCAGGAATCATTCAGAACCGTATTTCAAAAGCCATTCACATTTGAAAATGAAGAAAAAGAGGGCATATTTGAACTTGCCTCTGCCCATCTCCAAGTTTATGCCGGTGCCTGAACCCACTCCCAGTGTTAGTGTTTTTCATTCTAAGATTCATTTGTCTTGGTGGTGCTATCCAACTGATCAAAGAGAAAAAAAAAGAGAGAAACCCCCCCCCAAACGAAACAAACAACAACAAAACAATAGCAATGTAAGGTTTCAAAACATGATGATAGGAATTTAACAATGATTGTTTTATTGCTTGTTATCTTCAGAATAGATGCCCAGATTACCAAATAGAGGCATTCAAAGGTGATCAAACAGTAGGAACATCAACTGTTCTTTTCCATGAACTAATACAATTAATAGTATGATTATCTTAGTTATCTTGTGTATCTACATACAAATTTATATTTTTTCATTTTCCCGTCCTTCTTTTCTCCTTTCCCCGCTCCCAACTGTTTTCCCCCTTTGAGATGTTTCTTACCATTTCACCGTATCTATTGCAGATTTGGGATGTTATTTACTCTTTAAGTTCCTTAGACTAGGGAGACAATATTGTGTTTACACATGAGTCTGATTTACTTCACTTATGAGTATGGTTTCAAGTTGCGTCTATTTACCTATAAAAGTCTCAATTCAAACTAGATTTAACCTACTCACAGGCTACTTCTGAACAGAATGCAGCTCCTCAGAAGTACACGTAGTGCTCAGGGAGGTGTTCTGGCATGATTTGGCTGTTAAAGCCCTGAGAAGTACTGTAGAGGATGTTAAAAGTTGTGGAGTCATTTTGGAAAACAGTCTAGTAATTTCTGAACAAGTTAAATACAGCTTTCCCATATGACCCAGTAATCCTACCCCAGGAATTTACTCAAGTAAAATGAAAACATATTGACACAAAGTCTCCACATTAATGCTTACAGAGGCTTTATTCATAATCATACTAAGTTTGGAAACAGCCCAGATGTCCTACAAGTGGCACCTTCATAAAGTACAGTGCTGCTCAGCAGTAAAATAATGAACCACTGATTTGTGCAGCACGGATGAAATCTTAATTGCACTCTGTGAAATGAAAGAAGCCAGATCAAAGAGGGGAGACATCCACGCTGTGGATGGATGCTGCTCAGTGGTACTGTGCACGCCCAGAATGTGTGAGGCTCTGGGTCTGGTTCTCAGAATTGGAAAACAAGACTAGACACTGTACAGATCCACTGATAGGACATGCTAGGAAAGGAAACGAAGAGATGAAGTATAGATTAATGTCTGTCAGGTGACAGGAACAAAGGCTGGGTGCTGAGGATGAGACGGAAGGGTTGGTGGATGATGGTGCTGTGGCCTTTGGTACTGTGGGGATACGTGATGCTTTGCCTTTGTCAAAACCCACAGAACCTCACATCCTAGAGAGTGACCTGCGCTGCACACGGGTTTAAAAATCAGTTGATCCGGATGTGGAAAATGGAGGTTAGACTGAAGACTGTGCAAACAACAAATGAACCTAACTACATGACAAATAAGTGACACATCCACAGTGAGAAGAGCGAGGACTACGGAACTGAAATCAGTGGTGTGTCTGGAGGTGCTAAAGATAAAAGCAACTGCATGCACACACTAGCTCTGGATGATAAACTTGTTTCTTGCAAGGAATGAGTTATCAATTGGGAAGCTTCTTTTCATACATTTTATGAACTGAATAATCAATAAATATATTGCAGATAATGCGAAATAGATTTCTCACCATCAAACATAGCTATTTCAAATAAGCATAAAGAAAAGGTTAGAATGAATCCTAGTAGTACTGGATGAGAGTAGGAGGTATCATCAAATTCCTGTTATTTTTAACAAACAAATAGAGAGGGGGTGTGCACTTGGGTGAGTGCATCACATTTTTCCTAGCTCTGTCCCCTGAGGAGAGGACAGATGCCATGATACACCTGCAGCAACGAGGACACTGGGGAGTCAGGCCTTCATTTGCAATTATTGTTCTCCAGAAAGCAACCTAAGGTTCCTTAGAAAACAGGTTGATTTTGGTGACCTTGAACCATTTATTGACTAGAGGAAGAAAAGATACAGGCCAGATGATAGGACAAGGGAGTCTAACAAAAAGAGCCCCCAGATGAAGGAAGATCAGTCTGGAAAAAGAGTAATGACACTGGAGCACAAGCAAAATAATAAAAGATGGATATGCACAAATCCATGTTGATATAAATGAATGAGTAAATGAAGACAGAGGGTGAAGGAATATTTTCTTACAGGATTCCAGTAAAAAATGATACAAGGAATGAAGGCAAGTAGAAATAGGCCTTAGAAGTCATAGATCTAATTGCAATGAGCGAGTCCTACTGATTATGCTAAAATGGAGAGCTATAGAAGAAACAAGATCTGTGCATGTTGTCAAGTTAGCAGCCTTTAAACCTTCACTGAGTACAAAGGGGACAAGATTAACTTGGCATGGAGCAGATACCTCCTTAGTCAAGTGATCAAGCTGACATATTGGGGAGTAAGAAGACCATGCCAACCACTAAGGAGGCTATATTACTGCTGTGCTGTTCTTTCCCAAAGGAACTGTTATGGCTTGTGTTTAGATGTCACTCCAGAGTCTTGTGTGGTCATGGACGGAGTCTTTTAGAAGCGGCTGGATCTACAGTGTACAACACTTGGTTTGATTCATAGGGAAATGCTATAAGGGACAGAAAGAAGCCTCTCTGGTCCCTTGCTTGCTTTGCTACATTCTGCCCACCATGAACTGTTTGTGCTCTGTGATGCCTGTCACGCCACCCTGCCTTGGAAGCCAGCCCATTACAGACTGAAACATCTGAAAACTGGGAATCAAATAAACCTTTCCTCCTTTAACACTGGATGTCAGGTATTTTGTCTTTTCAAAGAGAAAAGTAACTCATACGGACTTTGGTAGCAGAGAAGTGGAGTCATTGCTGTGACTGTACATGACCATGTGATTTAGGAAGCTTTGGTGCCGAGGTCCAGTGACTTTGCCTAAGATTAAGATTAAAGGTGGTGGATTAATTAATCTTGCAGAAGAAATTTCAAGGCAGTCTAATTTTGAGGCAGTGGCTACTGTTGGGAACTTTTAACCAAATTTATGTTGAGAATCAAGAGCAAAGAGCCCAACAGAATGATTCAAAACATTTTTAGTTTGGCCAGAAAGGAAACTCTAGTTGGTCACTGGAAAGACAAGAAAAAGCCAAGTATTGCAGAAGAAAGCAATAGAAAAGACTGCCTGAGGGCATCATCAACAGGATTCTGGTCATTTCAGCTTCAGAGTTGCAAAGGTAAAAGACTTTGGTTTGAGAAGAGAGCCCCCAGAGTACACGCTCTAGAATGGTGCAGGCTTAGTGAAGTTATTCCTCAGGATTTGGTTCACAGGCACTCAAGCTCTACAACAAGAGAGAAGGAAGCCTGGCTATTGCTCCAGCTGACAGCAGACACTGACATTATCCAAGTGGTGCCAGTTTTAGGTCCACACAGAATACAAGAGTTGTGGGGTCAGAAAGAGTTCTGCCCAGATTTCAGAACAAGTTCTGGGAGGCCAGGCAGTGTGCCCCTAAGAGGGCAATGTGTGAAGCTGTGAGTGTGAAGCCAAAGGCACACTGGAGACTCCAGAAATTTGGAGCAGCCAGTAGGAGGAAACTGAGGAAAACTACAAGGAGGAAGCAGATCTGGCCCAAAAGAAAAGTAGGAGCTACAGCCACTGGCCCTTCAGGAGAAACAGAGACACCCAAGTCCTCTGGAGTTGACATCTTGCCACACATGCCAAACATGGAACTTTAAGATTTAGTATTTTTCCTGCTGGATTTTGGACTTACTTTGATCTCATTCTTTTGTATTCCCCTATTCATGCCTTTGGGAATGGTAAAGTTTATCTTGTGCCATTGTGTAAAGTGTTTAACTTTCTTTTGTACAGGAACTCACAGATAAGAATCTGCCTTAAATCTCAGACTTTGGTCTTGCACTTTTTAGCAATGGTAAAACTGTTAGCACTTTGGTAACTCCTGGAGATGGACTAAAGGCCTTTGGTATAAAGGGATACGCATGAGTCTTGGGGGGCATGGGATAGAATGTTATGGCTTGTGTCTAGATGTCCCCCTCAAAGCCTCATTGAGTCATGGGTGGGGCTTTTTAGAGGTGACTGGATCTGGACTGTGTGATACTAGGATTTATTCATGGTGCAATGCTAGCACTAAAGGTACTAGAATTAAGGGTGTGAATGCTACTTGCCCTAAGTAACAAGGATGAGATACAAGGGATAGGAAGCACTGTGATTAACGCTTATTGCTTTGTTATTTTATGCCTGCTATGAACTGTTTCTCCACTGTAATGCCCATCTCCCAAGCCATCCTGCATTGGAGTTAGCCAATTATGAACTGAAAACTTTACAAACTGTGAGTTAAATAAACCTTTCCTCTTTAACTTTGGGTATCAGGTATTTTGTCACAGAATGAGTAAAGTAACTAAGACAGGCACTACCTCCATCTCATTTTAAGAAAGCATCAGGAAACTCCAAATTGAGAGACAGTCCCTAAAATTTGTGGCCCATGTTTTTCAAACATATGAAGATCACAAAAGACAAGGAAAGACTGAGCCCCTGTCAGAGAGTTAAAGAAACTAAAGACACATGCTGTGCAAGTGCAGTGGGGGATCCTGGCTTGGATGCTAAGAACGGGGCATTCTGGGAGAAAAAGGCTGGTGAAAATTGCATAAAGCCTGAAATTTAGTTAATACCATGGACCAATGTTAGTGTGTTACTTTGGGAAATTGTGCTCTGGTTATGTAAGATGTTACATGAGGAACACTGAATAAAAGGTGACTTAAATGGAAACTTCCACTCTTTTTTGTATTTTTAATGTGTACTATTTCTGTGAGTTTTCCTTCAGTCTGAAATTATTTCAAAATGAGAAGTTTAGAAAATAGAAACAGCTGGACACCCCACACTGACTTTTTACACCCCACAATGGCATACTTTACTATGCTGCTATGGGCATGAGCAAACTGTCCTTCCGCCACAGTACTATCTCAGTTCATGAATGCTTCTGCTTGCAAATGATGTGGTTCCTCAACAGAAGTGTTCAGCAAACCTTTTCTTCCATTCTCAAACTCTGCATCAGGTGCTGAACAGGACTCTGGCCATCTTCCCTGCACAAGCAGCAATGGGGCCATCTTCCACACACTAGTGACATGAATTAAGTTTGCGAACTGAGGGACCACAGTGTTTTGGAAAATTGTGGTTTAGATACTCCCAGTAGAAGACCCTTGTCCAAACTCTTGTACTTAACTAGTGTTTCACTATCAATCACTTTCCAAATCAGTTTTACATCTTAATAATATATTTATAATTCTCTGATATCAAATCAACACAGAATCAAATAATATCACTTTCTGAAGCAGTTCTGGACATCCTCTTTTGTGTCTTTAGTTGTGCTACTGGGACTTCCTTGATACCAGTATTCATTGGATTTTTTGACTGCATTTCATAAAGACACAAGGGAGGACCCCACAGCTGCTTCAGCAAGTGGCAAATGGTAAGATGTTGAATGAAAAATAGTCTGAGGAGAATTAATGGCAATATGTCATTGTGATAGACTTCAAAAACTTAAATATTCACGCATATTTCAGTCATCCCTTATAAATGGCAGCAAAGAATCCAGGAGCTTCTTGTTTCTGACCACACAGGACATTTGTTGCTGGCCATCTTACTATGCCCACTTTTATCAGGCTAGGTTATACAAATTTGTCCATTGTAAGTTTAACAACAATAAATAAGAATTATCTACAGGAAATCAACCAGCAATTCCAGATAAATAGGTTCAAAACAATTACTGCTCTTATAAATTTTAAGAATCATTTATAAATTCATAGTTTTCCCCACTACTATTGTCTTGAAATAATTTTTCTGGAACAAAGCTCTGAGACTGACAGCAATAGAAGGGCTATTAACTCTGAGTACTTAAAACATAGATGCATTAAAACTGTGCTTAACACCTGTGAAAAACAAAAATCAAAAAAAACTGCAAACAAAATCTAAGATCAAAACTGAGGCATTAATTCAATACATGGAGATTCCATGATACAAAATTATTTGCAATTCAACTATTTAAGGGTTATAGCATGAATTACACATTTACTATTAAGATTTGTCAATTTTATGCAATTATAGTTGTAAGAGGACTACTTAGAAATATCAGTATTTTTGAAATTGTACCTTTCCCCTTCCTCCTTCATTAAAATCTAACGAGAAGAGGTTTCTTTGGAATGCCACCAGTGTCACAGCAGAAAAGGCTGCGTGAATTTGGAAAAGAATGAGATCCACTCCCCATCTTCGGAAGATTAAAACTAAATCAAAGAGAACAGTACCACTTCCAAGCACTTGAACCCAGGATGAGATATATTCGGATTTTTTGCATTCAAATCATTATCTCAAAAAATGTACAAAAAATGAAGTTGGAGTTCACTCCTATGATTTCACAGTATTAGAAACAGAGCATTATCTTCACTTGAGAATAGTAACGGCCCTGGAAGTCACCATTTTGCTTTTGATAACCCCAATGAAATGCTTCAAGCCACTTACTTAATGAATCTGATACAGCTTCCGAGGATGATATGCTGGTGTCAGACGAGTTGGATATTTCCGAGTCAGCTGTATCAATTTCTCGTAGCTCACACTTCTCAGATCTTATTGGTTGTGCTGGATCCTATGAATTTCCAAAAGAAAAAAATTTGTTTGGAGGTAGAAAAACAAAAGAAAACACAGAACATGAATTCTGACATGTTTTACATCATGATCTCTAACGCTACTCCAATCAAATAAAAACCTAGCTGTGCGTACCCGTCATTCCAACTCTCTGGAGGCTGAGGCAGGAAGATCACTGTGAGTTCGAGGCCAGCCCAGCCTATTTAGCAAGACCCTATCTCCAAAAAAGCAATACAAACAACAACAGTACAAAAAACCCAACTGAAAACCTAACAAAAATCATCAAACATGTTCCCCAAGAATATTGCTAGAAGACAAAAGCAAGTAGAGTTTATAGATTCAAGATGGTATACATCACCAAATTCAAGAACAGGAACACAGTATATGTGTGTACAGAAAGCGCACATGTCTTTAAAGGGTTTAGATCAAAAGCCCTGGAATAAGTCTACCTTTTGGTGAAGCTGGTGGAAGCTGTCCTGGTCACAGTGAACACTGGCGGTCCCCTCACCTTCCACTGCTATCATTTGCCCCAAACCCGCTGGTTCATGGAGGAGCGGGACAGGTGCTGGGGACAACATCACGGCTGACAGGACCATTCTGCCTGAGGTCCAGCAGCCTAGGGCTAGAGCAATGGATGGGCAGCCAGGAGCTGCCACAGAGCCCTCCGTGGGTTTTAGGCAGCTGGTATGGGAAACATTATTAGTAAAATTACTGTATTATAGCAGCAGAGAGGCTAATCACTTCCTGAGCACTTCTAAAGGCAAGGCTGTACGGAAAGTTAGGATTCAGGGAGAGAGAGAATCCACTGATGTTATGCTTGGTGCTCTTTGCCCTAAGCCTGGCCACTTTCAATTACACCTTTTGCTGCTTTAAACCAAACAAAGATGCTCCTCAAATTCGATTTTTTAAAAATCATTAATTTATTGTTATTTTAAAGAAAAAAGATATAAATAACAGTGAAAAAGTTTCAAAACAGGTTTAGTAAGATAGCTATGTGACTGTACCGGATGTGACCGCGTCATTCTAAGTGGAAAATGCACTTAATATAGTTACCCTTCTGGGCACCCCAGCTTCTCTGTAAAGTGTTTATTTTACCCTCATGACCATGCCCAGCACTGAATATTGCATGTAACGGTAGTATGTCTCTAGCCCAGGAAAGAACTCAAACTGAAAATTAAAAGGACTACTTTTAGGAATGTTTATCACTTTCACACCATGATAAAATCAAACATTTATAAGGGAACCACGGTAAACTGGAGATGCCATCCTTGCTCAGTGACCGAGTTCCTTTTCCATAACAACTGGGTTGTTTTAGCAATCTGTGGACCACCGTTCATATGAAACTCAGGTACTTGGCTTAGCAGTGAACTATTTTACTACATCTCTGTCAAATTATTTTGTTGCACTGTGTTCTGTTGAATCAGTTTGAGACATGGATCCATGGTGATTTTCCTACAAGGGATCTGCTTGCTGGAGTCACATCCAAGCTAAACTCCAGGAGGCTGCATGACTTCAGTGTCCCACGGGCACAGTGTTTTGTACTCTTTAATGGTATGTTTCTAGAGATGTCCAATCTTGGATTTAAATGGCTAATCTGATGGGGTGCTACTTGTTGAGATAGGACAGAACCTGTCTTCCTTCCACTCCTTATCATAGCTACCTATCGATTTAATCAATAGTTCCTTGTTTCCTGGATGGTTGTCAATAGGAATTTACATACGTGGATGTTGACTCAGCAACGTGCCCTTTCAATTTTGAGAGGCATTTTGGATTCCCTTTTCTTCTGTAACTCTCTCCATCAACAGTATGCGTGCTAAGGGCCACAAAAGCAGCACGACTTTTGAGGCTCGGCATAAGGGAGATTTCAATCACAGGCTCGGATAGCTGCTGCTTATGTGAACTGGAAATGAAAGCCTGTGGTCGCTTACTCTCAAAAGATCCTTGCATTTTACTGTTTCGGAGGTGAGGGGACATTGGGCTCGTAATTGAATGATAGGTTAAACAGACATGGGTGAATTGCTGGATAAAATGTGATAGAAATTTTAAAATATGCTGAGCTTAAAAATCTTCTCTGTGTCCCATCCATCTTCCATCTGCTAGCCCACATGTGATACTCATTACAACAGAACTTCTAAAAAGAATTTCTACACTTGGCCACCAACTCTGCCATCCTTTCTTGGCCCCACCCCAGTTGAGACATTATCTCCCTGCCTGCCTTCACACTCCACCCAAACTCCTCACCTCTACAAGCTTCACGGTGACTTCCAGGTCCTACACTTACAGTCACTTCTCTTTTGTTCACCTACTCAACCTATCGACAGATTCTGCAGGGTCCTCCCCTCCCTCCTCCTTTGAAACACCGTCCTTACCAGCCTAACCTCACACCTCACTAGTCAGCCTCCTCATTCAACCCTCTTTCACTCACCTCCCAACTTCAGGTGTGCTCCCTGACTCACACCTCTGTCTTTGTCACTGTCTGCCTTGGTGACCTCTTCCGAGCTTACAGCTATAGGACAATCCATATTGATAATTATCAAATTCAAATCTCCAGTTCAGTGTTACACATTCACTGGGGTGTTTGCCCTGCCAGCTGATGGAGTTAAGCACCTTAAAGTCATCCCTAAATTTTCTCCTCATATCCTTCATCAAAACTCTAAAAAACTCTTCCTTCTGCACGTATCTAGAATGTGATCACTATGCACAATCTCCACTGTCCCGACTGTGGTCCAGGCAAGCACCATTTCGATTTGGGAGCTTGCTTCCAACCTGCTCTGCTGGCTTCCATTCTTGGCTTCCTTCCCAAAGTCTATGGTCAACACAGCGACTCTTTGACTAAATAACTCACATTCTGTCATTCTTCTGTTGCACATTCATTCAGAATATAAGCCAAACCTGTGTCCAGTAAGTACTCAACTTATTCTCAGGTGCACTGTATAAGATTTCCAGGTATACTACATAAGACTCACTTTGTTGGGTTGAGAATCAATCGGATTTACTATACACCCCACCTGTCACTCTAGGTCCTCTTCATCTTGCTCTATTTTTCCAATAGCTCTTACATTTTCTAATACATACTTTCTTCAACTCAATTGTTGATCTTGTTTATTGTCTTTGCTACTGCTAGAATGTAAGATATTCTAGAGTAAGAAATTTTCACTATTTTGTTAACTGATGAATCCACCTTGACCCACCTAAAATGAACCAGAATTTGTTTTCAAAATAAATACATTCAAGATGTTCAAATACACAAAATTATGATATGACAAAAACTAAAGCAATGTCAAAAATAGCTCTGAAAGCAGATTCTTCCTTCACTGGGTAGTGATAAGCATGAATATTGGGATCTGCCGGATACGGATTTGAATTCTGGTTCTGCAATTTACAATTTACTGTGTGACTCTGGGCCAGTTATTCAATAGAAGTCCAAGACTCATGACCTGCAAAACTGAAATGAAAATGTCTCACAAGGTCATTGTGGGACTTACAAACCTAAGCCAGTGACTGACCAGTAAGAAGTCCTGGCCATTCTCTAGTTCTTCTGTCATAAATATTTTCTGTGTTTTCTGTGTTTCTTCTGCTTGTACTTGGTTGAAATTCTTGGACTGCTGGGTTGTAGCTTTCATCAGATGTGGACAATCTCTGGTAATTATTCAAATATTTTCTCTGCACCCAACGTTTACCTTTTTAGATTGAATGGAGTTTTCAAAGGTAAATTTCTATTTATTTTATCCTTCCTCTTTATTCCACCCTTGTGTGTAATTCTGGAGTTTCCATTGATTTGTCTTTTAAATCCACTAATGGACTAAACCAACAATGTCTAACTGTCATCAACCTCACTCTGTGTATTTTAGCTAAATTTCTGACTTGGGATCTTTTCCTGATCTCTCTCATCTCACAAACTGTTGTGTCAAGCAAAAATAATTCTTCAGGAGGAAGAAAGCTGTGTATGCACGCGCATATGTGTGTGTGCTTGCCTGTGTGTGGTACTGAGGATGAAACTGAAGGTCTTGTGGAAGCTAAGCACACACACCACCACAGAGATGCACTCTCAGTTCAGAAGCCCACTGTTTTCATAGAAGTACTTTGTTAAATGATCGAATATTGGAATATGCAATATAAAAATCAGTGTTTCCCTGTTTAAAACATGCTCACAGATTCTCCATGTACCAAGAGATTTTAAACACTAAAAAGACTGATCCAGAAACACACAAATGCTCTCAGACAGGCCACGTGGACTCCTGAGGGCCACAGTGCCACTGAAAGCCCCACACTGCACATGTGAGGATTTAAATGAAAAAAGCAATGTGCATAAACATGGAATGCTCCTTCATGCACGTTATATTTACAAGTGCCTGCAGTGTGCCGGGCCTTGTTCATGATGCTGGGTATGTTAACAAGACGGCCAGAGGCTTCATTCTATGCCAGAAATACAGATGATACACGGATGTGATGCCTTTGAGCATCACTCCACCCCTGTGATGTAGTATTATTACCATCTCCATTCTACAGATGAGCAAACCAAGGGAATCAAACCCCTGTCTTCTGAAGTCTCTGGAGTCATTGCTCTCTGTAGCACTGCTACCACTGTGGCGAGCTGCCGATCAGCTGTGATCCTTGCACCCATGAAGTGGCATGCAAGGGGAAGGCCACCTTGCCACTTTTTGACTCAGTAATGCCTTCTGTGCCGCGTCTTCCATCCTGTTATACCCCTCTTCTTCAAGTGGGATTTTTCCCTCCCAGAATTGAGGCTTACAAACCTAAGCCAGTGAATGACTGGCAGGAAGCCCTCTGACCACTGAGGATAGACCCAGGTTTCAGATTTCATGATGTATATCCCTGAAGGATCTACTCTGCTAACTTTGGAGGATGAAGAAACAGACACTGCATTGAATGCCACACGGAAAGGAAAGGGACAGCCTAGGCAAATTAGAGCCTGGGTACTGCCTGTGCTCAGGGAATGCCACCTGATGGCCCTACTAACTGAGCTGTACTAGAGTACACCAGCCAGGCCAGTGCACGTTCCTTATAAAATACACGCACACAGCAAGCAAACCTTCAGCTATGTCTGGGATAGGACTTACTGTCTTTTGTGAAGTTACTGCAGGGACCATTCTAAGCATGGTAATTACTGGCTCCCAATCAGGAATGTCTACCAAATGGCAACTGTGGTATCCTGCTCATGAGAGCTACTTCATGAAATTAAGACCTTTCTACATTGGCAACACACATTAGCTACATCATCCACTTTGCAAGCATCAGCCAGTTTTAGTCTATGGCTTTCAGTGTACATACATGAAAGGAAACGGTGTTGGCACTGATGGCAGCAGCCGCAGCAGCAGCAGCAACATCTCTGGAGGTTCTTTCCAAGACGTTTCTAGAAACAAGGGGAAAAGGCAGGGTAAGTATGTCTCAGGAGCCATTTCAATCGACATTTTCTGTCACACAATAAAAGCGATGCACAAATAAAAATATTTATTTTTTTCCAGTACATAAAACATCAATTCTGAGATGTTGATTCTCCTGCATGAATTTCTACCAAGTCAATCATCTGGACTCTCATTACAATGAAGTTTGCCACCAGTTTCAATGCCGTATTTTAACAGCGGTGAGCAAAGCAAGTATTTTTTTTTTAAAGCCAATGTATATGAGCAAATGCTCTTTCTCCATTTTTAAATCAACTGCAATTACAAAAATTGCCTTCAGGATAAAATTAATTCTGCTTCCTGTAATTAGAGAAACTCCATTCTTGGGCTCATTAACAATTCATTTCTATGAAAATTAGAATCCTGGTGCCCCAGGTGAGAATGTAGCTACACAGCACACTGGAATCTGAATGCTTTTCGTCCATCAAAGAGAAACTGAAAGACAGATGGGGGAGGGGAAGAGGAGAAGAAGGAGAGAGAATACAAATACACGAGCATCTTATTTTAAATATTGAAAGTAGTTTTTTCAAGCCGTGTGTCCAAGAATTTCTCTTAACAGCCTTGGATGTGGCTCAGTGGTAGAGAACTTGCCCAGCAAGTGGGTTCCAGTCCCGGCTCCTCTCCCTCACCAGAGTTTTTCTTTCAGAAGCCAAAGAGTGAAAAGCCTTGACAAGCTACAGAATAAAAAAGCAGAGTCTGCTGATAAATGTGCTATAAAAAATAAGATCTGCAGGAGCAAGACAATGACAAAATGATATCTGTGAGATCCTCTCTGAGTTCACTAAGCAAAGTTAAATTAATAGATTCACTGAACTGTTACACATTTCAAAAATGCTTACTAAACCCGTGGCCTATTTTCTATGTTACAGGACTCAGACAAAAACTATTTTATGTGTGTCATTTATTTCTAATATTAGAAAATTTAAGGACTTGGAAATTTTGAGTGTTCCAAGCACACCCTATTTGGTAGTGTTGATTTCCACAGCACAAAATAGCCTGTTAATGAGTTATTTCAGTCATATTTGTGTATAATTGTACCATAACATGTCTATATGTATTTCTTACTGTTTTAGTTTTCAGCGTTAAGTAACCTGGACATAGAGTAAATGCATGCATTATTTAAATAAAATCCCTAACGAGATCATTGTTTATATATTTTAGATTGTTTCTCGATCTCTGCCTACATGCATAATGCGGTTTAGTTAAACAGAATGTTTTCTCACCAGATAAAGTCTGCTAAAAGTCTCAAGGTTATTCTTGACTTTCAGGTCCTTCTTCACATTGTCACTTTGCTGGGCCATGTGGTAGCCCTGGCTTCAACAAGGGCCACTCCCACATGTCCATCTCAAGACATGGCCCTGTGCTGCGGACCCTGACATTCAGCTCCTTTCAGGACAGGAACCTGACACCTCAACTCACTGCGGTCCATACTCCTTCGCCAGAGTCGCCTTGCTTTATGAATACTGCCACCTTCTACCCAGAGACTGAGGACTGGGACCCGGGAGTCATCTCTGATTCTTTCTCAATTGTCTTCTGCCTTGCATAAAAGTTCGTTATTTCTGTCCACCTTTTCTGCATGGTGGATTTCTTGAAGGCCATGAATGTGCCTTGAATCTCGCGTGTCTCAAGCAGTTAGCACAATGTAGAGTGCTCATTATGTACTTGGTGGGTATTTGCCACGGCAGTCAGTTCAGTCGAAAGGTTTGCACATCTTTCACCTCAAAGTTGCTCAACTTGACAAAATTATTTTGAAGGACAAGGGCAAGCTGAGAACTTTGCCTGTTCCTCAAAAATAATCTAATGCATTCACACTGGCCTGTAAATAGTAAGTATCTTTATACCTGACGTAAACAATGTACTGCTGTGTTGTCAACAGGTTGCATCCAAATTTAAGGTAATAAGAATGAAATAAAAATTAAAATTTCGTTCTTAGGATACAACAGCTACATTTCACGTGCTTCAGTGCTGCATGTGGCCAGTGGGTGAGGCAGAGTCTGTCATCACTTCCATCTCCACCCTCACTGGACAGAGTGCTGGCTCTGACAGTGACACACTGTGAAACAACCGTGTTTTACGTCCAGTTCTAGCCACCTAAGTATTAATGATACAAATGAATGAATGTTTGCTAAGCATTCTAGTGAACTGACACTTGCATGCTGCTGTGTAAGACAGTGGTTGCCAGATGATTGATTGAGAGTATAAAACTTGCAAATAAGCACGTACATGTTTGGAAAAAATGGTAGGGAGTATTTCACACCTAAGCAGTCTATGCACAAAAGTAGTGAATTTGGGTTTGGGATAACGATGTGCAGCAGAAGGTTTGCAGCAGAAGCTTTGCTAGGTGTAGTTACATTAAAAAAGAAAATAAAACCGCATTTGAATTCTGCAAAGAAAAGTACCTCTGTCTCCTTAGCTAATATCTCCAAACACTCCACTTAAACTCTGCCCTTGGTATTTCCAGAGTAATTTTTCTCCAAGGTTTGATAGTCAGTGGTAAAGTACTCAACACTGCGGATTTACTGTAATGTAAAGTTGTTCTTTGCTCAGCAAATCATGCGCTTTTACTTGCTGTGTAAAGGAAACTGTACATATGAAAAAGACACCGGACACTGTCCTGTTGTGGTAAGTGGAGGATGAACTAAGCTGAGGCAGAGGAGAGGCAGGAAACACATGACATTACAAGCACAGCCCTAAATGTCTCTCCTCACACAAATGCGATGAGCTAATCTTAAATGATGGTTATGAATGGAAGACTAGGTTTAGCTAGTTTCTTACAGCTAAAATTGAAGCTTCCTCATTCAGGCTTTGTCAACCAGCTTGCACAGGAAGTCCACTACTGTGGCCCCCAACTTAAAATGTAAACTCCTGCGTCACGTATTGGGAATTTTTCTTTCCTTCAGGTTTAACTGCATCTTAGCCATCCTTGAGAAGTAAACTGATACACCTTCAGAACCACACTCCCCCCTGTGGTGCTGGAGAGGAAACCCAAGTTCCTGCGAGGCAAGCCCCCTATTTCTTAACGAGTCCCAGCCCAGGCCCAGGGCTGCTGGGAGAGGATTCCCACTGAATGGTTTGTCCTAACCTCACCACTGTCTCTAGTATTTCAGGGGTACCATGGAAAGTGGACAGATTGGGATCACGAACCCTTTAAATGTTTACAATTGTTCAGTCACTTGTCAGTAGAACCAGAAAAAAAATACTTTTTAAAACTTTATGTGCAAAAAATAAAAATTCAGTTTCTTAAAATTGTAAAGAAAAAGCGTGTTGAAGTCTGTAGAGTCCCCTACAAACGTGACCCTATCACACCCCTCATTAGCCCTCGTGCCTCTGATCACTCCATCCCAATTGCTACTTTACTCACAGAAACAGTTTAGGAAGTATCATACTATAATTCGCTTTACAATTGTACTCCTGTGATTTTAATTTCTCTTTCTTGGAAAATGTGTTCCTCAAAAATGAGATCTGCCTGCTGCAACTTCTCTCTGTCTAGCACCAAGTGGCAGAATCCCCAAGCACTAAGACAAGCAGACTGGGGTTCAAGAGTGTGGGTACTGTAACTCATAATCACAATGAGAGAGTTTCTCCTGAGAAAAACTGCTACCGCTGTAGATCACTCAGGCCAATCCCTGCCTTTGGGATGGAAGGTGAAGAGGAAGACCGTGTTCTGTGGCTACGGGTCCCTGCACACAATGCACACTTGTGAATCTCCCCTAGATGGATGTACAAAGCCTGGTCTTTCCTACAACAAAAGCCTCCCTTTTAAATACTCCAATGTAGCACTTTATCTAAGCAAATCATTGAAATAGTGCCACCTTAATAGACTTAGAGAGTTCAAAGATGGAAAAATTCATTTTAGAAACCATATCAAAAGGCAGACAGGCAATGGGTATCACTTTGATCAACTGAAGAAATCGTTGTCGTGAAGTATTTCATTGTCACCTCTATTAGGACACCCTCGTAAGACAACTGCTAACTAACCCTACTACTGGACAATAGCCAGTCTCACTTTTGACAGGGGAGAGATCATCACTGACTGCGTTCCAACCGCACAGTGGATCTCTTACACATCACACCATTCTCAGTCCTGCAATAACACAACACAATGGCACATGTTCTAGTGACATGCATAACTTACAGTTTAAAAAAAGGAAATAAAGCATCTCAAGGTGAACATCATGTAAGGCCATAGTTAATAAATGGCAAGGCCAGAACATGAAGCAGTCTGCAAACTCCAAATGCCAGCAAGGGCAATACTCTGTCACCAGGGTAGCAGAAATTGAGTAGCACCAGAGTAGCAGAAATTGAGTCATCTCTAGGTATGCTTTACCCCAGCCATAAATGTCTTGATACTGCCATGCCACAGGTTCCATATGCTGTCTTTTTATTATCAGAGTGTTTATGTCCTTGAAATCAGTAATTCATGTCAAAATCAATTCCATTTGTTTACAGTCATATCACAAGGCATCTCACAAGCATCATGCATAGCAGGAGTGTGAGCTACCATCTGTCAGCCAAGAAAATTTGTGCACACTGGTATGCTCCCCATTCTTTCCAGAAAAGGTGCAAACTGTATTCACTTTTGGCTCCTTCTTTTTGGCTCAGCTTTTGGAAACCCTTGGCTTGTAGGATCGGAGCAAATGAACTCACCAAAAGTCATTCTCCTAGCATCAGATTTGCCAAAAAGCAACCTACAGAAGATCAGTTGGCTGAATGACAAAAAAAAATCAGAATACATAATTGGCCAAATATACTGTTTCACCAAAAAACTGTTTCTTCAAACTATCTGTAAATTTTACAGTATGCTAGATTGGCTCAACTTAAGAAAATGATTAGAGAGCAAGGATTTGAGACACCTGGGGTCTTTAGACACTTGTCTGGCTCCCCAGCTTCCTCTGTCAGGGACCCCAGCTTCCCCCCCAGTCCAACCGCAGGGCCAGCGTCCTGGCTGTGC